CTCATTTGCATAAACAGCTCGCTTCTTGTGCCGCGGATACAGTTCAGCTTCTTTCGGACTAAAGGACATGACTCGGTGGAATATGAGGATGTGCTGCTGATGGTTTTGCCTGTAAATGGTGGAAAAGGTTTGTGGTGCTAGAAGCTTTTCACTGGCACCAACTTCGGGCATTCATGGAGGTAGTGAGGAGTGAATGAGACTCAAGCAAAATCAGGGAGGCGGAGGCGTGCACAGCGAGGGCAAACAAGCCAAGTGGCGAAATCAGAGTCTTTCATTGGGCCATTAAATTGAGCGTCTCTCGTAGCTCTCTGTGCATCAGAAGGAGCGAGCAGACACAAACAGCGATCAGTCTGCAACATGCCGAACCGCAATTTGTACCAGAAATTCCCCGCTTTCCGTCCTGGTCGAGACAAACGGGAGGCCATGTGCACAGTGTACAAAGCAGGCACATATGTTTCGGTGTCCAGTGGGGGTGTCAGGGACCTCAAAGGACCAGGACACTTAAAAACATTAAAAGCTTTGCCAGGTGAAAGTAGCTCAATGTTGCTTGCATGGTGTCCTGGTTTTGACAAACAGAAATATGGTCACACTAACCTGTATTCCTCTGAGTCGTGTCCTTTAGTCTGACAGAAGTTGAACCGCATCAGTGCACAAGAGCTATTTTTTTCTTAACTTAGTTTATGTAAATTAGCCATGTGGTTTTAAGTTTTGTTTCTGTGAGATTTGCGCAAATCTGCATTAAACACATGATAATGTCAAACGGGCTGATGTGGTTCTAGAGTGGTTACGGTTTATATGTCATAAAGTTGAGTTTATTTATGCAGATTAGTAGTGCAGATAGTAATAATAATGATGATAATGTTAATATAAAATGTTAATAATTGAAAATTAAAATAATTCTCCTGACGATCTATTAAGAAAATTTAATCGAATGCCCATCCCTATACACTACTGGTCAAAAGTTTTAAAACACTCTAATTTTTCCAGTTATTTATTGCAATTCAAGTCGTGCAAGTCCAGTGAAAAGCTTGGAATGGTAAAAAGGTAAAAACTGAACTTGAATATAAGCATTATATCGATATATACGATATGTCAGAATCCATATCGAGTTTAAAAAATATCTTGATATATTTAAAATATCAAGATATCACCCATCCCTAATCTGTACTAAAAAACCTACAACCTACTGTAGGACTGCAAGATTCATCTAATGGAAATCACAAAAGCTGCAATTTTTAAAAAGCATCATCGCAATTAGATGTTTTTCCTCAAACTTATTCAGCCCTTTTGGACCCTTTTTCTGCTTTTGTGGGGCTTACAATTTTCCCAGAAGACATAAGATGTTTTAATGCAGTTTTAGGGCAGGAAATGATGAGACAGGAAAGACATTACTAAGCAGAAGTCCATAGTCCCACTGGGAATTACATCACTTAAGGTCGGACTGACTGGAGTTTTCCTTGAACTTATCTGAAACCTAAAGCTCTTCTGTACTGAAGTGTTGAGTGAGGTTTTCCAGCCACTGAACAATGTGGGATGTTGTGGAGTCGCCTGAGATTATTATGGCTTTAAACTTATCTATTTTGCATGTGTTTTGATTGTTAAACGGATACCTTGAACATGCATTCTTTCAGACTTTTTATTCAGGACAGCAAAATAAAAACATTTGTACAACATTTATAGCCAGCACAGACATTGCTGTTACATTTGGCAAAGAGTAACAACAGTCAGTATTGCTCCAGTTTGTGTATTTGTGGTGCTTGACAAAATTAATGTTAAATTTTACTATCAAACTGTTGTATCCCTGTATATTTTTGGTGCATAATGTTAGATATAAAACACATCTGCACATGGGAATGGTTTCTAACAGTGCTCTGGTGTTACTCATGTGGGCTCGAGTGGTTGTCAGTCTTATATTTTTATAGTTCATGATGTTTAAGGACTCTTATTGAAAATGCACTGGAAGGGTATCAGCTTTTGTAATGTAAATGTTCTATACTTTACACTGGAAGGGGCTATAAATCAAGTGCGTCATTAATACTGATGATTCCGTAGTATGAAAGTGGTGTGAGTGTGAGTGTTGGTGGTGGTTGAAAGGTGCGATGGTGCAGATTGGCAGCCTCACTTCCGTCAGTTTGCCCCAGTGCTGCTGTGGCTACAATAGTATCTTACTACTGTCAAGTACTGAATGAATGAATTATGCCCGAAACTGTAAAGCGACTTTGAGAGTCTGGGAAAATGCTTGTTGGGACTAGGGATGGGCATTCGATGAAATTTTCTTAATTGATCGTCGGAAGAATTAACGATCGATTATCGATTAATCATTAACGTTTTTATATTAAAATTATCATCATTATTATTACTATCTGTACTACTAATCTACATAAATAAATTCAACTTTACGACATATAAACTGTAATGACTCTAGAGCCACATCAGCCCATTTGACATTATCATGTGTTTAATTCAGTTTTGTTCAACTCTCACAGAAACTAAACTTAAAACCACATCACAAATTTGCATAAACTAAGCGAAGATAAAACTACAGCTCTTGTGTCGCTGATGCGGTTCAATTTCTGTCGGATTAAAAGACATGACTCAGGTGAATACAGGTTAGTGTGACCAGATTTGCGTTTGTCAAAACCAGGACACCGTACGGGGGGAGGGGGGCGGGGACTCGTCATCCACATTGCGCGACTCACACCCGGTAAAGCTTTTTCCCACTGGACACCGAAACATATGTTCCTGCTTTGTACACTGTGTACATGGACTCACACTTGTCCCCAACGCAACGGAAAGTGTGGAATTTCTTGTACAAATCATCGTTAAATACACATTTGTGCTTCGGTTCGTTACAGACTGACCCACTGTTTGTGTCTCTCTCCTTCTGATGCAGTGACACATGTACACACCTGTTTGGTCACACTACACACAACAACCTACATTTGGTTTGTCGATTAAAATTAATGTAATCAATTTACATTTAATTAAATTTACAATTAATGTGATGAAATTAATGATCAATTATCGATTAATCGATTAATCATGCCCATCCCTAGTTGGGACTAATGCATTGTTATGTAGGGTGACCAAATGTCCATTTTCCCCGGACATATCTGTTTTTTGCGTCCTGTCCTGGCTGTCCCTTTTTTTTTTTTTTTAAGTGATGCAAATGTCCAGGTTTTCATGATCTTTCATTGGTGCCATTAAACTGAGCGTCTCTTGTAGCTCTCTGTAACTCAGAAGGAGCGAGCAGACACAAACATTCTGTCAGCCTAAAACATGCCAAAGTGCAAATGTGCATTTAACGATGACCTGGACAAGAAATTCTTCGTTTTCCGTCCCGGTCAGGACATGTGGGAGGCCATGTGCACAGGTTGCGAGGTGAGAGTCGCTCAATGTCGAAGCCCCACCCCGGTAAGGGTTTTCACAAACGGAAATATGGTCACCTTATTATTATGTAGCATGTCCGGTCTGACCATATGTCCATTTGTAATAATAATAATAAAAAAGATTTTTTATATTATTATTATTATTATTATTATTTATAAAGTACTTTTAAAGACAGGGTTTAAAAGTGCTGTGCAAGCAACAAAGAACAATAAAAATAGCATCCATACATACAAATGCATACAAAAACAGACAATGAAGCAATCAGTTCAATTAATTATAATAAATAAGTTAATAAAATAGAATCAAAGTAATTAAATAAGGAATAAAATCAAGCTAAAACCACCTAAAGGAAGGCCAACTGATAAAAATGAGTTTTAAAAAGTGATTTAAAAGATGATACTGATGGTGCGAGCCTTATCTCCTCAGGCAGGTCGTTCCAAAGCAAGGCACGTTTATTTGTACAGCACAATTCGCACACAAAGTAATTCAAAGTGCTTTACAGAATAAAAAATACATTAAAATCACAATAAAAACTAATCAAAACATAAATAATCATCATAAAATTAAAGACTAAAATAAAAAAAAAAGAGAGAGAGACATTAATTACATAAATTAGAGAGAAGAGTGCAGAATGAAAACCTTTCAGTCATATGCACAGAACCGTTTTGAGCCTGGATTTAATCAGCGTCAAAGAATAGTCTGTTTCACATATTCAGGAAGACTGTTCCAGGTTTTAGCTGCATGAACCTGAAACTCTGACTACCCATGTTTAGTCGTGACTCTGGGCACCAGCAGGAGGTCGGTCCCTGAGCTCCTCAGAGTGTGAGATGGTTCATGTGACACTAACATGTCACAGATGGACTTTGGTGCTCAGCCATGGAGAGACTTGTACACAAGCAGAGCTGCTTTAAAGTCTATTCTCTGAGCCACAGGAAGCCAGTGCAGAGACCTGAGCACAGGACTTAAGTGCTCGTAATTCCTAGTTCAAGTAAGGACCCGAGCTGCAGAGTTTTTGATGTTCTGCAGCGTCTCACAGCTCGTTTGGAGAGGCCTAAGGCGAGGTGCCTGGACTGAAAAGACTCCGTCACCTTCATCCAGAGCCTGGACTTTGGAACAGCCAAAGAGACCTGCCTGAGGATCTGTGGCTGTCAGAGGCTTGTACAGGGTTAAACATTTCTGAAATGTAACTTGGTGTAAGACCTAAAAGAGCTTTAAAAGTGATCAGTAAAATCTTACACTCGATTCTAAAACACACAAGCAGCCACTGAATCAAAGTGAAACAATATTACTACTAATCACTATTAACTTATGGTGACCGAGCATCCATATTTACTCAGGACAGTCCCAGTTTTGAGCCTTGTGTCCCCTATCCCATCAGATTTACCCAAAACCAGCAATTTGTCCCAGTTTTATACAAGAAATGTCCCATGTGTCCGTTTGTTTGACCAGTTTGATACCAGCCAACAATAAAGAGTCCCAGTCAGTTTTGACTTTTGAAAATGTGGTCACCCTATATTAACAATTAACTATCCAAAACTTAAAATGCAAATTGTGTAGTTCTGAAGTTATTACACCATATATGACTCCCATTCATTTGTGTTTTCTCGTAGCCACCATGATGAAACCCAGACGCCCCCAGCCCTCCCTCCTCTTCCTCCTCCTCGCCGTCCTCCGGTTTGTTTACGGACAGTATGAATATCTGGGCTACCCTGCCAACTACCCCGACCCGCAGCACGAGCAGTACCAGCCCCCCCAGCTCTCCCCGGACGTCCCCAGGATCCAGCTGCGTTTGGCGGGGGACAAGCGTAAACACAACGAGGGCCGCGTGGAGGTGTTCTATGACGGACAGTGGGGGACGGTGTGTGATGACGATTTCACCCAGCACGCGGCCCAGGTAGTGTGCAGGGAGCTGGGGTACATGGACGCCGTCTCGTGGTCCCCGTCTTCAAAGTATGGCAAAGGAGAAGGTAGGTGATGGCAAATAATGCAACAATATTTTTGTTCATGTAATAAAGTAAAATGACATAGTGTCTGTACTATAGAGGCCTAACCAAGCTCGGGCCTCGTCAAAATCTCACTCCAACCTTTTTCTTGTATGCCTCACTGTCCATTCATAGCTCCTGATTTGCTTTTTTCACATTAATTCCTGGAGAGTTCCACTGAGATTTGGAATCTCTTTCAGGGGAGTAGTGACCTCAGTGGGTACTAGGGGTGTAACGATATCCAAGTGTCACGATACGATATATTCACGGTTTGAACCTCACTGTACGATATTTATTTCAATATTTTGTGAAGCTAACAAAACTGTTAATATGCTGCTTTTTCCTCTTATAATGCCTTGACAAGACTTAACCCAAAGAACTAAGACTTAAAAGTGTTAGAACTGTTATTTCTTCTTGTAGTCTGCACTGAAATGGAGCAAAGGATCATGGTCTATGTAGTTCCCTCTGTCATTTCTTAATTATTGCTGCACATTAACTCTTCATTTAGAGACTTGTGCTTCGATATATCGTGATGGTCCATGATATTATCGTGAGAACTTTGACAATACGATATCACGATATTTCTGTTATTGTTACATCTCTAGTGGGTACCATATTTTAATGACAAGGGAAACCTGAGCTCATGGAGGAAACCTACGTAGACACAAACATGCAAAGTCCACACAGAAAGGTTGCATCCTGTTTAGGATGTTTAGAACCCTGGACCCTCCTGCTGTGAGGCTGAAGCAATAATAATGCTCTCCCACATGCTCTTAATATTAACTGGATTTTATTTTAATCAAGCTAACACAGAAACAATATATCTATTTATTATCAAAATGTTCAACCTCCATATGCATAATGTCACATCATGATAATAAACGATGGAGATTTTATTGGTATGATTGTAGTGTTCCACAGTGTAGCATTATTCATTATGATGTTTTAAAGTGTCCATCTCATGCAAAATAACTCTTTTCACATTGTATCTTCTGCACATGAACAAGCACAATTTGGGTTTTGGAACATCCATTACACAATAGTTCTGAAATCTTACTGATTTCTTGGAGACAGTCACAGACCAGGAACTATGAAAGACCGACTATTACTCATCCCCCCACCCGTCCTGAGAAAGCACAGGCTCCGCCCTCCAAACGTGACGTAGACGACGAGTGAGCCGCCCTTCCTCTGCCCATCTCAGGGAGGGAGGGGGAGACAGACGTGCACCCTGATAGTGGTAGGAATAAACTTTTATTCATCATGGAGATAGGATATGGTTCAGAAGCATGTGTTGGACCCGGAATCGGACGAGGACTTTGAGATGCATGAAGCTCAAGCACCGCGTCCACATCAGCTGAACATTGCTGATTGGTAAAGTATTAATAAACACTAGTAGATCAACTTATTATGTCACGGTGGAGCGGGGGAGGGGGTTAGGGGGCGGGTGCGAAGCGTTTTCTGCTATGTCAAACTCGTCATAGGTGTATCTGCCGCGTCATCATTGTAGCAGCTTTAGTTCGTTGTCACGTGGGAGGGTGGCAGAAATACACTGCAATTTGTTAAAAAAACTGCAGAATCAATCTAAAAACCACTTCGGCGACATATAAAAGGCCCACACATCACTCTTAGAAGGTAGAAAGCTCTGAAAAGTTGATTTTGCATGAGATGGGCCCTTTAAGTGAAAAAAAAAAATCTGACCTGTAACTTGGCCTGGTTGTGTGACCTGCTTGTCTCCATGGAGGAGTTTAATGCTAAAGTTTGGAACATTCCAAGAAGTATGGTGTACCCTCCTCCAGAAAGGTACTACACCTTTAAAATCACTAGAAAATCCCCAGACACTGGAAGAGTCAAATCTCTACTCTCCTGACATAACCTTTTACATGTTTAAATTGTTATAATAAACACTTTCCTCTAGTTTTAGGAAAGTCCCCATTGCAGTTCTTTCCAGTGGAACCTTCCTTTGATTCACGTTTACATTTGTTCCTTTAGGGCCCATCTGGTTTGACAACCTCCACTGCACAGGACAGGAGAAGACCCTGGCCCAGTGCCCCTCCAACGGCATCGGCGTGTCAGACTGTAAGCACTCCGAGGATGTGGGAGTGGTCTGCAGCGACAAGAGGATACCTGGGTTCAAATTCATCAACTCTCTGGCCAATCACATAGAGGTAAGTTCCTGGTTGAACACTTAAACTCACATTACTGAATTTGCTAAGGACGCCATGTGGGAAATGTAGATCATGCCTCAAATCTACAATAGCCCTGTAAAACACAAGTCCATTCAGTACCAGGAGCATTTGTATGTTGACGTCTAAAAGGCATTTTCTCACAGGGCTTAAGTGTCAAAGTTGTGCATTGATAGTGTATTAGCTTGGAGTGTTACTGTAATCTGGGTAACTGCAGTTAGTAAAGTTGAGGATACAAAACTCAAATCGCCCTCAAGATAACAGGCTGCCAACAATGAAACAATGAAATCCTGTTGTGACTTTACATATGTCAAATACCTGGGCCTTTAAGGTCTGGTTCACAAGCTGGCCCTGGCGTCAAACACTAAGTTACGACTGTTTGACAACGGAAGCGGAAAATGTTGTGAAACACGCTGTGGAGCCACCCATTATATCTTATAGGCCTTAAAGTGAATGGGTGGAATGATGAGTCAGTGTCTGTAATATCAGAACATTACTGTAAATATACAGTCAATGTGACCAGATTTTTTCCATGTTAAGCAACAGTTGTTTTACCCTTGCACTTATTGTATTTAAGCATCTCTTGGGGTCAAAATTAGGCAACTGTGTGCTGTCTGCATCTAAATACAAAACATTTTATTGTTTCAGATTTTGTGCGTGCAATGGCAAAAGAAGAAATTCAGTTTGTCAGTTGGACAAAAGTTAGTTTGGTTGAAAATGTTTCGCAGCTCATCCAAGCTGCTTCTTCAGTTCTGGTCAGATGTTGGTGGACACTTCCATATATCTGGCTGAAGAGAGGAGCTAACTACACTGAACCTACTCTGAACTAACACATCTAGTTGTTTACAGTTTCTGTTAGTTAGCTCAGCCTATTAAACCTATTCTGAGTGTGGATTCTTTTTAGCATAACCATTTAGGGCTATAAAGAAGCTTTCACACCTCTGGACCAGACCTGCTACACCTGTTGTTCTCTTGTTTGTTTTGATTTAGGTTTGAGGCTGGAGTTGTAAATAGGAGGTAGATGGTGTCTAAGTGTCAAAAATAGCTTTTGTCCAGTTGACAAATTTAATTTCTCCTTTTGCCGTCGATTCTACCTGGATGACTGAGGGATTTTACACACATTTTGAGTGCAAAATTAGCGTGCTAGTTATTGATAGCATTACTGTGATGACGAAACTCCACTCTGGCCTCTGAAAGGTGTGAAAAGTGCTTATAACCATGTGGCTAGAATGTGGCTAAAATTGCATGAGAAAAATTAGAAATATGTTTGAACTGCAAACCATTTCAAATTTAAGGCAGTGAATAGCCCTTTCGGATTCTTTTAAATAGTTTTATTTGCATTTATGGATATTGTACAGCTCTACATCATGGGGTTCTATTGCTTTTAACAGTTCACAACCTCTGCTCTCCTCCCTCCCCTGTTGTCTGTTCGAATGCCCTTCAGTTGTAGGTGAGTTGAAAGTGAAGCTGCAGAGTTATAGCAGAGGTGTCAGACTCATTAGTGTCAGTGCTGTGTAGTTTAAACCCTTTAAAACCTCCCTGACGGTTCAGTTTCTGGGTTAAACCAATGACGTGCGGAGACGGGGAGCGCTCTGTTATCTTTGGGCTAAACGTGTTAGGCACATTCCAATGTTATGAGCCAACCACACTGCCTCCCCTCCTCACTGCATCATATGGTCCGTCCAGCAGTCGTCCAGCCGAGGTTCAGTAGATCTAAGCCGTTCAGCAAATGTTATAGTTTAATGGTGTAAGTTCTGCGTGAGGCTCACAGTTGGTAACAAGTACAATATGGGGTAATTCTGAAGTAATAATGTGTTTTTGTAGACAAAAAGTACCGTATTTTCTGGGCTATTAGGCACGCTCTTAAAGTTGTATGGAGGATTTTTTTTTTGTTTCAAATTGTCATTGAAAGTTTAAAATACCATTACAGTGATGCAGCAGCCTTGTAGTTATGATGACCAACAACAACAAAAAAGAAAAAAGAATGAAAATCTATCAACTGTGGACGTAGTGAGGTCCAGATAAACATCAGCCAATAGATAACGAGGCTCCCTCATTTTCTATTGGCTGTTAGGTTGTCAATCAAACTCCCTACGTTTCTAGTGTAACTGACTCACCAGTGCGCAGGGATTACGTGGTTTATGCAGTGCTTCTTAGAGTTTTTTTTTCTAACTGTAGCTTCCTCGCAGTTCGCACAAAGTTTGTTGCGATGGCGGACGAGAATCCACGACCAGTTCGCCGCAAAAGAAAGTCCGTTTTTGAGGTCGCTGAAAGAAGAAGAAGAGAAGGGGAAAAGAAGCGGAGAAAAAACTGAGGTGATTTTTGGAGATTCCTTCCAGCGATTGCGTGAATGAAGCAGACAAAGGGTCTAAAAACTGACGTGTCGGTTGCTAAATTATTTCTAGACAGGTCACTTCAACAGTAACTCTGAACGTGCACTGGCTGTAAACAAACGTGATTTCTAGCGTAAGGAGGTGGGAGGAGGTGTTTCTACTGAGGGAGCTGTGGAGGAGGACGGTGGTGTCATGCATGCTCAACATTTGAAAAAGGACTGTCGCTGTATTTCTTATCCCTTAAAAAATCCTTTATACAACCTTTAAGCCTCCAACCCCATCAAAAAACGACCGCACGCCCCACAATCCAGAGCACCCTATACACGAATCCACTCGGGTGTCCCAGCACGACTTCAGTTAACTACAAAGCCGCACCACCCACAGAACACACAAACACACATGGAGCAGACAGTGACCACACAGCGAAAAACACCCACAGTCACACTCATCACTCCACACCGACGAGGAACGGAATGGAGGAACGAACCGAAAAAGCAAGTGCAATGTGCCACTTCTAGACACAACTGAACAACTGAGTCACTGCGAACACGCCGACAATCCGTTGGTCCCAGACAGCACCCTCCCTACACGCCACAACTGAACAAAGCCCAGAGTCACCGTGAACGAACAAACAAACAAAACCACTCACCCATCACACTGTTGGGTTTCCTTTAAAGTCCAGTGTGATTTATCTGTGAAAAAAGTTTGAAAATAGACCATTCAATGACAGTGCTCCTTATAATCCAGAGCGCCTAATAGCCCGGAAAATACGGTGAAGTTAAAGACTAGGGGTGACACGATACCCAAGTCTCATGATACGATATCGTCACGGTATGAACCTCAGCGTACGATATTTTTGGGAAAGCTCACGATATGATGGCGAGGCTCATGATTAGGGATGTAACAATATCCAAATCTCTTGGTATAATATTTTCACGATACACATCTCTCGGTACGATATTTATTGTGATATTTTGTGGAGACTAACAAAACTGTTAATATGCTACATTTTCCTCTTAAAATACATTGGCAAGATTTAATCCAAAGAACTAAGACTTAAAAGTGATTAGAACTGTTATTTCTTCATGTCTACACTGGAATGGAGCAAAGGATCATGGTCTATGTAGTTCCTTATATCTTTTTTTTTAACTATTGCTGCACCATAACTCTTCATTTAAGCAAAGTGATGTATAATTTGATATATTGTGAGAACAACGATACGATATCACAATATTTCGGCTATTCTTACATCCCTTCTTATCCCTATTAAAGACGCATTGTATAAATTGTTTGTTGGAGGGTCCGGCACCTGCTTGTCTCCATGGAGATGTGTCTAGAATGTTCCACAATATGGCCATAAACTTATGAATCTCCATGGAGACTTACAAGCCAAATTATAGTTAGATTTGTGAAGAGACGACTCCACTTACAGTAAGAATGGATGTTTTTTGTATATTTTTCCACCATAAATAACTCCTGTAGTAGTCTTGTTGTGGAGACAAGTAGGATGAAAAGTTACACAGTACACCTTGATCAAATAATTGTAATAATGAAGAAAAAAAAAATACATCCAGTTGGTGAGAACTGTTTTTTTTTTTTAAAGTAAAATGTGGGTACAAATGTTTTGTATTTTCATATTTCTTTAGTGATTTATTTCCATTTGTTTGGATGTGATTCAAGTCATCGCTGTATTCTTGGAAGAAAGTTTTCAGGCATCATTATTGTTGCTGTATTCAAGGCCAGTTCATTTTACAGTCCATGGGCCAGATCCAGCTCTCCAAGTGATCTAATCCAAATATTCTCTTGTTTACTTGTTAAAGGGACAGTCTGGAATTTTGGACATAGGACATCATTTCCTAGTGAAGTGTGTTGGAGACGTGTGGAGACACTTTTTAAAATATTCCAACCAGTCTTTGTATTTGCTCAAAGCGCCCAAAGAAAATCTACTATTACACCAGACTGACCATGTAAATGTCTGTGTCGATAGAATAATTTTAGAACTAAATCCAACCTTTCATTTGAAGGATTTATGTTTGAGCAGCAGCAGCAGCAGCGAGTTGTATTTCCTGATAGAGAGCTTGGCAGCGGTGGACTGATATCACCTAACACCTATCTTACCGACAAAGGCTATGTTTGTATGATGATGGTGTGAATGCGCAAAAAGTGGCATTGTTTTTTCATTTTTTATTCCACATTTAGACGAGTGTTTTCGGGAGGAAATCTACGTGCATACGGTGACGCAAAAGTGTGTGGAATTTGATTGGCTGAGCGAATGGGTATTGGGTATTGGGTAAACGTGTATGTGACGTGAGGAGGTCTGACCAGAGTTTTGCGTCTTGGGCAGTGTAGACGGAAATGCTACTGCAGAGCATATTCAGCTTTTCAACTCTTAGAGGGTGGTTTCAGATTTTCTCATTTTTAATCCTCATATATATAAAGTAATAGTAATTAAAAACAAAAATAAAATAAATAAATAAAAATAAATAAAATAATCAAAAAAATAATATTAAATAAAATAATAAATAAAGAATAATAATAACTGTCACACTCTGTCACGACTATAATTTTCTGAGAAAGACCATTAAGATTGTTCATACTTCTTAAAATTTCCTGTGCTTTACCTCTATGATACAGGTCAGCTTTTCCAGT